TTCTGTTTCCCAATGCATCAATAGATTCTCCCTTTATTTGGCCATTTTTCCATCTCAGACTAATTACACCATCATCTTTTTTCCCCAAAATATTGGGCAGTTGGGCTACTATTTGTTTTGCAATCATTTCTTTTCCTTTCCCATTTAGATGCAAACCATGTTTAGTAAATAGTTCCCTGGTGGGATTAATTTCGAGGACCATAGTATACTTGCTAATTTTTACTTGTTTCTTTAACTTCCTATTAAAGGATTTGATTTCATTATTAACACAAGAGAAGTCCACCAGATCATGTCTATGGGGAGCACTTAATATTATGAAATTTGTGTGATTGTTTGTTTCTACAAAGCTTATGATCTGATTTAAAGCTATTTTAGCCATATTCTTATTTACTTCATAGGAGCCACCACAGAACACAACCACATCACTTTTTGTTAACTTTGCTATGTCACTCATTCCTGATTTCACTATTTTCTCAGTTCCTGCACCAGGTTTGACGAAACCAATTACTTCAAAGTTCTTGTCCAATTGGTGCTTCACTTCTTTTGCCAAGCCTCTTGACACTTATATTTGCCAGAAGGGATTGTAATTTAGACTGTGATAATGTCTTCCTTTCTAATAAGCCAACATTAAATTCACATGCAGCTATTCATTGTATCTTGATGATACACCAACTGGCAAAAAGACTACTGATACCTCTGAAATGAATAAACAATTAGTATAAACGCTTTAGTGTACACTCTTATTTATTACACACACAAAATGGAAATTAAACATGTTGCATATTAACCCATTGATAAGTAATGACTCTGTAAACAATGCCCATTGCTAGGCAACAGATTGCTAACATGTGCCAATGGAGTGGCTGGAAAGTGGCGTTTTTGGCATGGTCTGCTCCGATGGCTGTGCAGGCAACAATGGGTACAGCACCAGATACACAGTGTTTTCTGTGCATCCATACCTAGATTTTATAAGCAGGAAAATTAATCGAGCGAGTTCAGTTGATTTGAGTGAAGTGAAGAGTATTTTGGTGGTGTGTAAGTCAGAGGACTGCTGCGGTTTAGTCCTTGTGAGCTGTTGTTGTTAGAAGCTGGTAGCTGAGGCATGGGATAGTTCAGGAACCCGTAATAAGGAAAACATCTGCTGTTGGAAGTCGCTACGAGGCAACAACTGATGAAAACCCAGCAGACTGAGAAGAATTATTACATGCTGTAGTGAATTGTAGAGTGTGTGAATTAGTGATAGCGCTATAGTTACTTGTAGTTATGATCTGTAACTGATCAGTAAATCCAATTACCGATTGAAACCCTGTCTGTAGTTACATGTACATGTGACAATATATAAATTGTTAATATCTACTTCAAAGTTCAGGATAGCTGATTTGGAATAGTGATGGGCCATGGGCTGGACAGCCCAGGTGTGATTCCTGGGAGTGCAAGATTTTTCTCTTCTCTGCAGCATCCAGACCAACTCTGGGGTCCACTCAGCCTCCTATCTAATGGGTACCAGAGGCTCATTCCCCAGGGGTAAAGTGGCAGGCATGTAAAGCTGACCATTCACCTCCGGCTGTTGCTGAGGTCAAGAAGGTGAAGCTATACCTCCACTCCCCTATATGTCTTCATGGTGTAGTGCTTAACCCTTTGGCGCGGTCATTTAAATTCCGCGGCCGCGTCTCNATAGTGCTTAACTAATTAAGCACAGGGACCTTACCCTTTATGTACTTCAAAATTATAATATAATAGGACAATACAATAAAAGAATAAAGTTAGGGGACTCTCTTTCTTTTAAGTAAGTGTGATTGTATTCAGGAAATTATGGTTAGTTGTTGAATACACAAATTGAAAAAAATATAACATCCATTCGGTTTAATTATCTATAAAATAGTCAGACTTTGGGAGAAAGTGTATTGGATATAAAATATTGTTTGTCTGTATCACTACTGTTTTGAAACATTTTACTGTCAAATAAATATTTAGTAAGATGTGCACAGAAATGCGTATATGTCATTGTGGAGATTCAGCATTACACTTCTCAAATCTAAAGGAAAATTGAAATGGGTGTATAGTGTTTTGTAAAATTCTGCAATGTCAAGTTTCAGGGACATTATTTTGTACTGAATGAACTTAATTGACACTGAGCAGGATTACAAACGTGGCTAAAAATTGTGATCAGAATTGTTACTAGACATTTTCACATTATTACAAATTCTTTTCATGATATGCATAAAAAAGTACATACTGGGGAGATTCTGTGTGTCTGTCCATAATCATATTTTGTCTCAAGAACTGCTGGTGAATTTTGATGAAATTTGGTGTGAAGGTTAACAATTGGTAACACTATCATGACAGACACAGAAGCTTGGGAGGTTGGAGCAATACTAGTGTCATTTTCAAATCCAGTGACCCTAGTACCTAGAGTTCTACTTCATATTATTGATTTCTTCATCAGAACAGTTGGAAGGAGTTTGGTGCATTCAGAATAACAAGCTGGAAGGAACATATGTGGAAACTTTATATAATTTGATAGAGCCTTGTTCATAATGTGTCATGTGCATCATGTATTGCAGGCAGTATAACATGATTCTACATTCAGTATAGATTTGCAGTCTGGACTGTGTAAACATATATGAATGTAACAAGGGGTATTATACATTTTGCCTCTCCTGTGGAAACAACCATTGTCGTATGTAAGATTTGAGGCTTTCACGGCGGTGACTATGAAGAAAGCAGTCTTCTGGGCTTTTAACACCACATATACACGGCGCCAAAGCCCAGAAGACTGCTTTCTTCAACCATTGTCGTCATCGTCACCGCCGACATTTATTTTCCCACCATTGTGGGTTGTTTTGTATCTGTCGCCACTCTTACTCTGTGTTGTATACATACCTTCCCAAACTTACACTCTCCACTCATTCCTTGGTTTCGGCAATGGGCATTTATTTGACATATTAATTTTTTATTCACTTTAAAGATTTCTGGTGTCTGTTCATAACAATTGTATATACCACTGTATTGATTCTTAACCATTGTATCTTGTAATGTACTCTCTTTCAAGTCTTGAATAATATCTTGGTTTCATATTTTAAATATTTAATTTTAAAGATAAGGCTTTCAGTATGCTGTTGGTTTGTTGCCAGAATTTGATTGAGAAACCAGAAGAGGCTGCAGTGTCAAAGGAGCACTGTATTGCAATGGTACAGTGCAAAGTACTCAAACAGCTGAGTATTTTAGAGCAGCGCAAGTTTGATGATGAAGACATCGTGGCTGACATTGAATTCCTGAATGAAAAGCTACAGGCTTCAGTTCAGGATCTCAGGTTTGTTTAAGTGCTTTAATCTTGACAGATTTGTCTTGAGTGCAATATTCTGAATAGGCTGATCACAGTGGCCATGCGGTCTAAGGCATGAACTGTCTTTGCCCACTCGAACACTGGGATAGTGCGTTTGAATCCCACTCAAGGCATGTCTGTCTGTCTATCTGTTTTTATTTTGTATTTCTGTTGTCCTATGTGTAGGTAGCATCATTTTGCCAGGCTGATCCCTCATCCCAGGAGTCCTACCAACTGTCTTAGTAATTGAAGTAAAACAAAACATTTCACAGATGCCTTATGCACGAAAGTGAGAACAACAAGAAAAACGGGGGAGATTCCAAGTAGATGAATAGGGTATTTGAGAACAGAGTGCTGACAAAGATATTTGGATTTGAGAGGGAATTATAAAATGTCTAGAGAAAATTGCATATTGAGGTACTTCGTGTATTAACCTGGAAGCAATTACAAGTCCTACCAATTGGCTTCTAGCCAGAGAGTGGTTATCCAATGGTAGGAGTGGTGCCTTTAAGCCATTGAACAGGCTTTTGTGTCAGCATTGCTGATGTGACAGGTATGCCACTGTAACTTGGACATGAGAACCCTTTTAGTGCAATTAAGTTGTGCTGTGGGAGGACAGAATTAATAGTTGAGTAGAAGATATGCAGAAGATGCATACATAACAGTTTTCAGTAGGCCTCAGGCCATAAAAGTTGATAATGATGGGGAGTTTCATAATTTGAACTGTTAGGGCTATTAAATACAGAATATAAGGTTAGCAGGACATGTAGTACTCAGAAGACCAGATATTTGTATTAACCTTTGGTCAGAAAATCCCAGGAGAAGAGAATGCTTGGGTTATCTATTTGTTATTTTGAGTTTAGAATAAGTATTAGAGAATCAGATGTGAAGGTGTGGATTGTATTAAACTGGCAGAATATTATCATGGAAATCCTTCCTGTGATTTTGGAGATGAAACGTTCAAAATATGTAGGATTTGAGGTTACCACAGCGGTGATTATGAAGAGTTCTGTGTTCTGGGATATACCATGTAGTGTGCTGAAAGTCAAGCTCTGATTGCCACCTGCCTTCACACTGGTTTCTTGCTCGACATGTTCTTGATTCCAGAAGATGTAGGTGACATGTTCCTCTGAAATGTCAGTTGACTTTTGTTGGACTACGTGGCATCATACCCCAGAAGATGGAAATCTTGATGTAGAAATATGGTTGGGCAGAGTTGGCCTTCATTAAATTTGGACATTTTCTGCAGTTTAGAAATTCAGGAGGTTTTGAGCATTAAACTAACATGTTTATTNAAACTGAAGTAAAACAAAACATTTCACAGATGCCTTATGCACGAAAGTGAGAACAACAAGAAAAACGGGGGAATTCCAAGTAGATGAATAGGGTATTTGAGAACAGAGTGCTGACAAAGATATTTGGATTTGAGAGGGAATTATAAAATGTCTAGAGAAAATTGCATATTGAGGTACTTCGTGTATTAACCTGGAAGCAATTACAAGTCCTACCAATTGGCTTCTAGCCAGAGAGTGGTTATCCAATGGTAGGAGTGGTGCCTTTAAGCCATTGAACAGACTTTTGTGTCAGCATTGCTGATGTGACAGGTATGCCACTGTAACTTGGACATGAGAACCCTTTTAGTGCAATTAAGTTGTGCTGTGGGAGGACAGAATTAATAGTTGAGTAGAAGATATGCAGAAGATGCATACATAACAGTTTTCAGTAGGCCTCAGGCCATAAAGGTTGATAATGATGGGGAGTTTCATAATTTGAACTGTTAGGGCTATTAAATACAGAATATAAGGTTAGCAGGACATGTAGTACTCAGAAGACCAGATATTTGTATTAACCTTTGGTCAGAAAATCCCAGGAGAAGAGAATGCTTGGGTTATCTATTTGTTATTTTGAGTTTAGAATAAGTATTAGAGAATCAGATGTGAAGGTGTGGATTGTATTAAACTGGCAGAATATTATCATGGAAATCCTTCCTGTGATTTTGGAGATGAAACGTTCAAAATATGTAGGATTTGAGGTTACCACAGCGGTGATTATGAAGAGTTCTGTGTTCTGGGATATACCATGTAGTGTGCTGAAAGTCAAGCTCTGATTGCCACCTGCTTTCACACTGGTTTCTTGCTCGACATGTTCTTGATTCCAGAAGATGTAGGTGACATGTTCCTCTGAAATGTCAGTTGACTTTTGTTGGACTACGTGGCATCATACCCCAGAAGATGGAAATCTTGATGTAGAAATATGGTTGGGCAGAGTTGGCCTTCATTAAATTTGGACATTTTCTGCAGTTTAGAAATTCAGGAGGTTTTGAGCATTAAACTAACATGTTTATGTTGAATTTGTTACAGTTCGTTTGATGAGTATGCAACAGAAGTGAAATCTGGCCGCCTGGAGTGGAGTCCTGTACACAAGTCACCTAAGTTCTGGAGAGAAAATGCACCCAGACTCAATGAAAAGAATCATGAACTTTTGCGGATATTGATTCACCTCCTGGAATCCAACAGAGACCCTCTGGTGCTGAGTGTTGCAAGCTTTGATATTGGCGAATATGTCCGCCACTATCCACGAGGGAAACAGTGAGTTCACAAGTGACTTTGAAATTAATATTATTTTTTATAAGTACTAAAATTGACTTCATTGTGTAAGCTATCTGGAAAGTTCCCAATTCATATGACAAGAATGCCTGTCTTGACATTTTCATAGCTTGTCATCTCTCTTTACTCAAATATTAAATAATGTCACGATTTAAGGGTTGTGTGACTGTAGACGGGGTATGGATTGGCTGAATGGATTTATTGACCACTTGTATACACCACTTTGAACTACACTTTACAGATCACTGACACACACAGACTAGTGTCATCAGTGTATTACAATCTCCACCAGCCGTTTCCAGGTAACGGCTTCTTCCAAGGGAGATTCTTCAGCTTCCTGCTCTCAGGTCCTCTAGTCATAGCCATCTGTGCAGAACTCTTGTTAACTGACAGTTCAGCTAAATGGGTCCCAGGCCGATACAGACATTTCATACCAACATCCTAGACTTCTCCTCACAGGCTGACTTTCAGTGGAACTGAACTGTGACTGAACTCTCTCTCACCCACCAACCGCCTACTTCACTTCACTTCAGTGAACTGAACTGCTGACAACTCCAACTTTCAAGTAATTCCGCTGACCCTGCTTATAACATTTTGGCATGAACAACATAGAAAACACCATTTCCATTATCTTCATTGGTTGCATGCTATTGTGTGTTCTAGATATATACTGGAATTAGGATCACCATCGACACAACAAATTACTCGCTTTTGTTGTTTTCCAATTCAACGTTTTATTCCTCTTACATGTTTCAGTTGTACAGGACCATCATCAGGTAGTTATATATAGAATTATGTTTAGTTATTGGTATGGATCCATATCGATAGTTCAGTATTTATATATAACTATAGGCCAGAAGTGGCTGCAGTGCAAGGGACTTAGTGCCACCCCACTAGCAATAAAAAAACATATATATAACTACCTGATGATGGTCTTGTACTACCGAAACATGTACCTCAGAGGTAGAGGCCAGATGACAGATTTAGGTCTGATTATATCAGTATAGATCCTCAAGAAATCATATGTAAGGACTAAATTGGACTGGCTGTGACTAGGGTCCAAATGTGAGCTTTTGTGAATAAGGTAATGAATCTTCAAAATATATAACAGCAGGAAATTGAATGGTGGGTAGAATTCTGCTTCATATTTTTTTTTTTATTATTGCTAGTGGAGTGGGACTAAGTCCCTTGCACTGCGGCCTCTTCTGGCCTATTGTACCAGCCCCAGATGATAGGTGATGGTGATTGTGAAGCAATNTTGGTGGAATGAAGATTGGCAGGGGAAACCGAAGTACTTGGAGAAAACCTGCCCTAGCCCACTTTGTCCACCACAAATCCCACTTGACCAGACTTGGGATTGAACCTGGGCCACGCGCGCGCAAGTGCAGTAACCCTATATGAAATCCATTATAAAATTAAAAATATACCTGTGTCAGGCTCTGGTAAGGTCTAGCACTTGGTAAATGGAAACAGCAATACAATTAAAGTTGTCCCTGTGCTTAATGAAGAAGGCATATTGGGGAGTGGATGTATTGATCCACATTTTCTTGACCTCTTTGACAACAAAAAATTTTGATACTCCCATCCATATAGTTAGAGTTAATGATAGTGTCATTAAGTGAACCGTAAGTAAATAAGAAGCAGGAAATTAATTTTTGGCCATCTGAGTGAGTCAACTTTGTAAGGAAGACTCAGCACATTAAGTAAGTTGGTTCTCAAACCAGTGTACCTAGGGAAAGTATTACCCATTTGGCATTTGACAGGAAGAGTGGGTTTGAATTACAGCTAAACAGATACTTTATTTTCACTGATAGCGCTTGTTGCAGTGTCATTGAGCAGCTGGGAGGCAAGCAGCTGGTGATGCAGCTGCTTGGTCATGAAGACCCAAATGTGCGATATGAGGCTCTGCTGGCAGTACAGAAACTGATGGTGCACAACTGGTGAGTACCATGGAAAAGTTATGACTTGTGACAATATTAAAGCAGTCAGTCCATTTTCTTTACTAAAATTTTTGCTGAAATTTGAATCTTTACCAATGAAAATTAAATGAACAAGCCTATGATAGAGCTACTTTTACCGATATATTATAGTCACACAAATTAAAATGAATTGCTTTTATGCATGATGGGAATGCCACATCTGCATGTTTCACTTCTGAAATTACTGATTGGATTTTAATGAAATTTGGTTTAGGAATCTGCTTAGGAAATTTTGAAGTGAACTTAATTTTGGTATGAATACAAATACAAACCATATATTATGTGAAGCTGTAAGTGAACATTATTGGTTTTCTCAGAAATGGATAGTTGTGCAAAACATTTCACATAAAAATTAAAATACCATCCTTATTAAGCTTGACAGATTTCTTTCTTTTTATAGGATAAATATTTAATGAAGTAGAAAAACGATTTCACATCCTTAGATAATGGGAATTGCTTTTCAAAAGTAAATTTGCATGTACACTGTAATGGAACTAACTTAGTCATTCGTTTGTTTCCTCTTTCTGTTGTCAGAGGAAATAGTTACATATTTATGTGCTAATTGATCTTCAGACTTGAAGTAAGTTTTGTTGAAAAGGAAATTGTGATTCAGTATGTGTTGTAGCCGTCCACCGACGTACAGCCGCCACGACTTTCGCTCGAGCTTGAGTTCTTAATCACAGGATATGGGTGCTTCGGATATGGGAGTGGAACACACTTCGAGGTTTATGCATCCGGGGGGCTCCAGAACACACCGTGGATTGCAGTTTTAATTTAAAATTTCATTAATTTTGAATATTTACATTATTTTCCTAGCTAGCCGCTCCGTCCGCCGACTAGCTACCACTACTCTTAAACACTTCTCTCTTCTCTATCTACCTTCCAACTACTGTCCTCCTCCGCTCCCTATAACCGACTGCCCTCTCTTTACCAGTCCCCCAGTTGGCCTAAAAAACGAAAAAATAGAAACATAAAAAGAGAAAGCCACGGGTCGAGCCCGGCATCTGACCTATATTCGTATTTTGGAGAAGCCTGTAAACTTTTTTAGGTCTTCAAGGCACGCAAGACCCCTGCTGCCCAGTCTCGCACATGGTCAGTTCATGGGTTTATGGTATTGGGAGTAAACAGGCGGCGTTAGGGACAATAGGGGCACCCTTAGCCTAAGGAGGACAATAGCTGAATTATGAGACGGTCCCGGGATGGTATCTCGCCGATGGAGTGTCTCTCATGGTGAGAAACAATGCATTAGCTGTTCGTACCCTTAATTATATAATTTTGACGAGGGACGTACGGTTACAATACTCCCCCCATTAAGCTAAGGTATGTCCGAGTCGAACAGATGAAAGACGCTACCGAGGCTTAATGCCATTCTCCCGTACGAACCGAGGAATACATTAATTGTTTACAATACGGTGTCATACTTACACACAACTGACCACATACAAGACAGATTATCTCAACTTTGAAGCTCACACTCTTCACAAAATTTCACACATACCACTTAAACTTGACATCGGCAGTCTACCGTAACATAAATGACCACACAAACAATTAGTAACCCTGAACTACTCTTGTACAAGAAATTGCTTCAAAAGATAAGACCAACTTACACAAAATGTACATAATTTCTAAGCATTAATATGTTTACTCATAAATGGAAATCAATAAAAATATCTTATTCCACAAATGTGGATAATTAATCTCTCCACTTTCTATCAGTACTAGGCAAGGCCGCCAACCAATGATGTGTTACCCTTGCTCAGAAGCTCATACCCCAGGCACGCGTACAATACAACTCTAAATTCACGTTAGTCTATCGCCACCACATGTTAGGTTTTTCTTCAGCTAAGCTAGTTACAGGGTTATTCACTCTCACTACCGACATGAATCATTACCCAATATAATGCTCTACTCAGGAGAGCACTTCAAATCATGGAACAAATGTGACTCAAACATAAGGCAACTGAAATCCAAGGCACACACATCAGAACACATACCCTTCTGATCCAATTGCACTCCTCATCTCTAACGCCATACCTATTCATACAACATGGTAAACACATGACTTCTATCTTATTTCAAAAACTTAATCACTCACGTCTTCAGAACTGAAAGATCATCACTATTAGGATTCGTATGATTCATACTGTCAGCATCCTAACACAAGAGGTCCAGTCTTCTCATAAAACTTACCACACTTTCAACAGTGGTGACAATAGGCATTTATAATTCATTTAACTTACTCTGATGCACCATACTTTGATAGCTCATAACCTTTAGAACCTCGTTTACCCTCTTATCATAAATATTACTTAATGCCATCGATATTGCCACAAACCAGTATCATTCAATTCATTGCTACACGATTCGAACGCCTTGCCACTGACAATAAGTAACACAGAAATTAACGCAATTTTAACAATAGTGAAATTAATTGACTTTCTTAACTTTAACACACATAAATGAAATATGTGGATATGCAGGAAAATCTGACACACACTGACACTGACCTTGAAATGTCTCACTTTCACACTTAGTGATGACCATATTTCTGTCCACAATATTTATATCCCAGTATTCTCAAAACAACACAATCAAATTAGAATCCACTTACGAGAATATAGCACTAACGACCTCTATCACTGATTGCCCTCAAGCTGCATTTGCCAGGTCCATGGTTTACTGACAGTCCATGCATGGGGGTGAACAGGTGACGTGAAATCACCACAGCATGACATTGAAGTAGCCTTTGATTTTACAGTACTTGTGGTTCCTTTATCCTTGAGAGTCTTCTTCCTCTTCTTCCAGTTTCGATCCCACGTCCTGCTCTTGCGCTCCGAGAGATTAAGTGGACTTGCTGTGCCGCGATATTCAGTAGTCTGTCGCTGTTCGACTTCTTCCGCCCCGAGCTGCAGCTGAAGTTGTGCTACACCCGACTGATTGCCACACTCTTCTGTTACATCTCCTGATTCGATGCCCATTTTCGGAACTTCAGCCAAGTTTCCACAGATCACTTGCGATCTCGATATTGAAGAAATCACATCGCATCCGTGACGTCCACTTCCTGCATAATTCATCTCGTCGGTATCGGGTAACTTCATTTCTGACTGGTCTGTACTGTTGTCACTGCTCAATGTGCGTTCTTCTTGGCACACTACAATTCCTTGGTCACTAGTTGTGTGCGCTTGAGTCGCAAGAATGCCTGGCTCTTTCACATTTTCTTCATCATGACTTGATTTTAACTAAAGTGTTATTTGGGTCTCAAAATTTTCAGATTTATCCCCTCGCACTGTATTGGTCAAAGTTTGAATCTGGCCATGAGTGCGCTCAGATACGACTTTAACTTCATTATTCACGGACTCTATCTGTTGGTTCATTTTACATTCTGAGTCCCTTGCCAATGCAGCCCGCATTTCATGCACGTCTTCCTTTATATTATTTTCCACTCTCGTCATTATGTCGTCAAATATACTTTCCATTTTAATCATTCTGTCCTCAAGTTTTTTCATATAGCTTAATATGGCATGCATGTCTATCTTACTGTCCTTCACATTTTCTATACATTTCGTCTGTTTATTCTCGGTCCGTAAATTAGCTCCTTCCTCCATTTCTCCCCCATTCTCTGTATCGTTGATCCCTTTCATTACTTCAATTTCTTGTTTATAATATTGATGACTCTAACTAACCTTGCATATGTGTATCTTCCATTTGTTTGTCTTCAGATTTGTTCCTATCCTCCTCTGTTTCCATGATGTTCCACTCGCAGACTCCCGGTCTCCTCCGCTGTTTCCATGATGTCCCACTCGTAGACTCCCGATCTCCTCCACTGTTACGTGCCCCAGGTTGGAAGCACCAATTCCACTGTAGCCGTCCACCGACGTACAGCCGCCACGACTTTCGCTCGAGCTTGAGTTCTTAATCCCAGGATACGGGTGCTTCAGATATGGGAGTGGAACACACTTCGAGGTTTATGTATCCGGGGGGGCTCCAGAACACACCGTGGATTGCAGTTTTAATTTAAAATTTCATTAATGATGAATATTTACATTATTCTCCTAGCTAGCCGCTCCGTCCGCCGACTAGCTACCACTACTCTTAAACACTTCTTTCTTCTCTATCTACCTTCCAACTACAGTCCTCCTCCGCTCCTTATAACCGACTGCCCTCTCTTTACCAGTCTCCCAGTTGGCCTAAAAAACGAAAAAATAGAAACATAAAAAGAGAAAGCCACGGGTCGAGCCCGGCATCTGACCTATATTCGTATTTTGGAGAAGCCCGTAAACTTTTTTAGGTCTTCAAGGCATGCAAGACCCCTGCTGGCCGGTCTCGCACACGGTCAGTTCATGGGTTTATGGTATTGGGAGTAAACGGGTGGTGTTAGGGACAATAGGGGCACCCTTAGCCTAAGGAGGACAGTAGCTGAATTACGAGACGGTCCCGGGATGGTATCTCGCCAATGGAGCGTCTCTCATTGTGAGAAACAATGCATTAGCTGTTCGTACCCTTAATTATATAATTTTGACGAGGGATGTACGGTTACAGTGTACTGTATAATAGTAATTCAAGATTTAAATATTTTGTTGTATATATGGTGATTGCATTAATCAGGTGAAACATAAATAGGAAAGAAATTTGAAGTAAAGTAATTCATCCCATCCATCCAGTATCCCTGCAACAGGCCATGAAGGCCCATAGGGTTGTGAGACGTTGAGGGTCCCACATTATCTAGACAGTCGGCTCAAAGATGACAGTAAGGTTGTCAGCCTTACGCGCTGGCCGCGCTTTGCTCCCCAGGAAAAATATTAAATTCATTCCTGGTACTTATTTCTGTTAGAGGCTGAGTAAACCCCAGGGCCTAGTGCGGCTGGAAGGATTAGATCAATTGAAAAAAATCCAATGACCTCATCAGGACTTGAACCCACAACCTTCCGGCTTGTAGCATAGGCCCTTAACTAACTACA